ATAGAGCATTTTTATTGCCACGCAATAAAAAGTAATATCAAAAACCATTCAGTAGATAAGGTCAAGAAATTGTGATATTACAGAGGATAAATAAAGAAGACAGTTCTCCAAGTTTAAGGTGGGTGCATTGTCCCAAACTTGAGACATTCCTCGAAATGTTCCGCGCAAATTTACAGAACCTCGTATGGAGCCGCCATGTTGGTGTTCTGTGGTACACCAATATGGTTGCCGGAAAATAGCATTAACATCTGGAACTTACTTTGGTTATCTGAGACAATGATTATCTTGCACTGAACAAATAAACATTAAATAAGCACTTTTCCAAATACAGCGTCTTAAATGGCTAAAAATCACAAGATAAATACATATTTTTCGACAAACGTGATCGTAGCTTTATGTCACGCACCGCCATAACTTCGAAATTTAAAATGCGCTAGTACTTCTTATGCTTGATGAGGATAACAACTTTTATGGCTCTTTAGTTTTGGATTTAAGAATTTGATGACTTCACGTGAAAATGCTCTATAAATAGGGTTGACAGCTAAACAAATTAACCCTTCGCAACATACGGGTCTCCATACATCTGCATGTCCGCCGATCCCAGAAGTTCAAAACACTACAAATCATGCCGATATGAGATAAAATCAACGCAACCTGGATCACAGATCTAAGTTACAACTGATCGCTACTTGTTGGCCATTATTATGTTTAAATGAAAAATGAAAAACAATTTAGTTACCAGTTTGAGAAACGTCCGCAGAATGTGATCGCAATGCATGGCAAGAAGGGTCTTTACACCTCGTGTGTGGGAAAACATGGCAGTTGATAAAAGACAAATTTTATAACTCTAAAACCAGTTCTTGCTTTCCAAACTTTGACACTAGCAAGGCTTGGCAAATGGGCAACAACTCACAAGAGGGTATTTCTCTTGGGCAAGAACTGCTCTTGGACTTTGCTGCCTGGCTCAATCTGACTTCAAAAGTCGATAACACGATTACAGTATACCAGCTGCCTTCAAAGTTTCAGAACACATTTTGATTCTTTAAAAGGTGCTGATCACTTACGGGTTTATCAAGACTTCATGATGCCTCTCAACCACCAGGCAGCCATACAAGGTACTTTAAAACAATGCTATGGATATTAGTTGACAGAGCTCTAATGCTGCACATCTCTTTTTTGTTTGATGGTATTTCGTTTGACGCTCGATCGATTCATGTGTTGTGTTCACTTCACAATAACCGATGTAAACAATCTGTTCCCAGATTTCCTCTCTATATACTATTTTCCTTTGACTTAAAGACAGCTAATTAGGTTGTGTGAAATACACTATAAACAGTCTGCCTGTTTGCTCTTCAACAAAATAATAAGGTTTCTTTTGTTTTTTGTTCAACAAAAGATCTCCAAAAGATGCCGCTTGGAAAACTGAGTTTTTTAGCATACGTTATTTCTCAAGAACGAGGAGCACCCCAGCGAAAAAAACTTCAGAGCAATGTTTCTCAGGTAAACCGAAACCCGCATGCCAAAATTCAGCTATTTTTGAGCACTTTCAAAATGGCCAAAAAACCTAAGGGATGCTCTTGCCTGTGGCCTTTCATATAGTTAGTAGGTTTTAAATTATATTAAGTGTCCAAAATTAGTAGGAGGGTGTTTCCGCTCAGCTAAATATTTTTTCGACATGTTAATAAAGTTTATGTATGTTCCCCGGCCAAAAATCTGCCTGTGAAACTGTGGTCTTGTTTCCTCCAACTGTATCACAACTTCTATAAATATATGGTTGTACTAACGTACTAGAGGGAAGCAAAATATACAGTCCTACTAACGCACTGAAGAAAAGTAAAATATATGGTCTTACTAACATACTGAAGGAGGAATGTAAAATATACCGTCGTACTAACGTACTAGAGGAAATTAAAATGTACGGTTGTACTAATGTCCTAGAGGATAATAAAATACACGGTAGTACTAACATTCTGAAGGAAAATAAAATATGCGGTTGTACGAACGTATTGAAGGAGGAAAACGTGTCGCAAGGCCACACAAACAAAAGAATGCTCTGAAAATTACTGAAAATTTCACAAGATAACCAAAGATTGACAAAGATGTTGGTGAAGATGATCCCAAGATGTTTTGATCATACACCCACGAATTTAAGTACAATTTAGGAGTCAATGTATGGTCATACTAGTGTACTAAAGGAGGAAAGTAAAATATACTGTAGTCCTAACATACTGAAGGAGGAAAGTAAAATATATGGTCTTATCTTTTTCTCAACTGGTGAGCGAGCAGATTTAAACAAGTCCTGCAATCTGATTGGTTCCAGAATTTTCCCATCCAACCCACCACAGTGGGGGGATTCTGTCGTGTTGATCTTTTTTCTGGAATGAATTAGCATTAATCCTCAATCTTTTACTCTTTTTACACTTCCATTGCTGATTAATCAATGCAAGTTCATCACCGCTCACCCTTAAATGGCAAGGAAAGTCACTGTAAGTAAATTCAATTGAGTGTTTTGAAGTTGTGAGAGTTTGTTTGGTCGTTTGTAGCTCGGCCCTGTAATGGCGCATAATCCTGTGTGGATCTCTCTCTGCACAATTTTAAGTAAAAAATGATTCAGTTTCAGTCCAGTTTATCTCTCTGGTTGTTGCTGCATATGAGAGAATTTCTCTGGAGAATTTCTCTGCTTTCTACTTTTCAATTTACAGTAGAAAAGTCTGATTTCAAGTGATTAGCAACGACTGACAGAGATTGTTTTTGTAGTACAACTTCAAACTTTGCATGAAATTTCACACTGCATAAACACTTCTGGAGAACTTAACTGGTGAACTAAATGCAACTAACATAAAGTAGTGTGAAATAAATCTTTTATTTAATACATCCTTCTTTTTCTAGTATCTGAGTTACTTGCTCAACGCAAAGATATTTGTTACAAATGGTTTGTAGATGGCGTGTAAGCCAAAACAATGACAAAGTTGCATAAACAAAACCATTTGTAAGCCAATTTACTGCAGGAAAAACAATAAACATGTTATTAGCCGGCTTGGGTCAGTCCGTGTAGTAACAATCTGTGACCAGTGAGTCGGTCTTGAAAATGCTGCCCGAGGTCACAGGCCGAAGGCAGCAATTTCTAAACAGAGGTCACAGGATATTACAAAGTACGCTCTTACTAGGGTTTGAGTAACAGAAACACCCACAAGAAATAAGTGGAGGATAGTATTAAAATCCTGCATTTCAAAAAATTGTAATGAAATTGTTGTTCATGAATTTAATGTACTTTAAACTCACTGATATCAAGTTTTACCCCTAAATTGTACTCAAATTCGTTGGTGTATGATTTAAACATCTTCGGATCTTCCTCTAAAGTCTTCGTCAATGTTCAGTCATCTTCAGAAATCTTTAGCAATCTTCCAACATGTTCGGAAAATGTTCAGAAACATTTGTGTCGAGTTCAGACAAGTTTTGGAGAATCTTGTAATTATAGTAGTAGATGTCGGCCGTATATGTTGTGTTTTCGCTGAATGTTCGCATAAAGATAACCAAAAAAATAATAACTCCTCACATCGTGAACTCGGGCTGCCTGTGTTCTAAACAGATCAAACAGACACAGGAACACAGGTAAATAACAGTATCGTTATTCTACATGAATGTACTTGATTATGTTATTGCTTCTATTTATCAACTATTTGTTCCTCATTTTGCCATGTCCGTATTTATGCGTATTTATTTACAATATCATATAAATAAATAGCGGAACACGTAGTTTGAATTCTCCTCAATTCTCTTGACTGTTGATCATCTAAGACATTCAATCACGGCTTAAATTATTCGAAAACTCATACAGATCATCAATTTTGTGACTTTCGATGTCTTTTTTTTTCGGCAATCAAGTATGGTTGACCCTGTATGAGCGGGCACCTTCAGGAAATGAGCTATCTATATAATTACAATAGCTTCTATTTATAAAAACGCTTGTGCAAAAATTTATTCAATGTAGAGCATTTCTGCAGTAAGATATTGAGTACTTGCGAAAGAAATTCAAAGAATAACTAACTTGACACCATGCAAGCGACTGTAAAACAGCCTTAGACAGTGGATGTTTGAAACACCACTTTAAAAACAAAAGAACAAACTTAAGGTTTGGCTTGTAGGCAATTTTAAAGCTCCCATTCGATTTGCATTCATGAAATTCTTGCTTGCCCAAAGCACAGGGGACCCGAACACTGTATCAGCAATAACAATCATTTACATTGAATTTCATGTAAAATAAATGTACTGTTATCTACCTGTGTTCCTGGGTCTTTTTGAGCCATTTAGCAGGAATTTGACAAGAAGCAAAGGCAGTTTACATTTCAAATATCATCTTGTCTACCGTCTTGTAAATGCGACAATCTGATTACGTCTCAAATTTTCATTATCTTCATTAACTATTAACTCTCATCGAGGGAGATATTCTCAGGTTTCGTAAAGTCCTAAAACCTTCAAGAAGAACAATGACTTTATGGGATTATGCAATAATTGCATAATCCCACAAAAACTCTGGCTGGAAAGTAACCAATATCTGCAGGTCACCTGTTTTAATAACCAAGGTCTTGGTAAGTGTTATCAGCCTCAGCCTTCACCTTCAGCTGATATCAATTTTTCACATCCTTGATTATTCTGGATGTCACTAAAAACCTTGTCCAATAATCTCCTTTTAGCTTTATTATATGGTAAGCTCTGTGAGCAGGCAAGATGAACCAAATCCTGAGCTGTGATTGGCTACCCAACCAGGCAGGATGACATTTTTTATAATTATGGCTAGCTCTATGAGCATGCTAGATGAACAAAATCCTGCCCTGAGATTTGCTACCTAAGCGGGCAAGTTGGCACTATCTTACTCGGTCCATAAGCAAACAAAAAAACCTGACTTCATGCTTGGTCAATAACCTCCAGCAAATTACCACTTAACAGTATCTAACTTGACCAAAAAAATTATGCCAATTTTTCTTCTAACATTCTCTTACCTCACTATATCCCACAAAGTCTCCATTTGCTCTTCGTAAGTTAAAGTTTATTATAGGACCTTGCCTTGTCTTGTCCTTAAAATCAGTGTCACAGTATATCTTGCACAATTGTTTACCAGAGTCGTGTGTCATTGACGACATCTTGTTGTACACATATAACGCAATGCTGTGAGTGTGATTCAAAACAGCTGTCATAGATCCTGTTAGCTTTTCAAACACATTGAATGCATGATGCAAAGCAACAATTTCTAAAAAGGGAAGAGTGCCGTCTTCAAATCTGTAAAGTAGATAGAAAGTATTCCAAAATGGTTAACTGCTAACAGCAAACTCTTGCTATGTTTTCACGAGAGGTTTACTACAATTAATGCTTACCAAGGTTTTGTAACTAAAAGGCAGTTATTAGAGAATACATATACTTTATTACTTACATATACTTTATTTAACCTCAAATTTACAGAGTAGCTTGTTAGCTAATATCTTCGAGAGAAATAAATATTAGAAAGAAAAAGTAAATAGATAAAATAAAATAAAATGAAATACAATTACAATTATGTTAGAAGCTGTTTATACGGAACTAATTAACTAAAGTTGGCCACATACTACCGACAGTTTGAGTTTTGGTCGGAAAGCAAGTGCTGCTGCAGCAATGTACATTGCACAGAAACTATTGGAAAATTATACAATTTCTGACTTTACTCCAATGTCGAACGCAGGTCTCTGTCAATTTGCAGGAGGTGATGTCGAGCCAAACTCTACTTAAATGTAAAGCTTTGTTGATGAATAGTGGAAAGAAATTTTGATATCTTGCTGAACCATGAGGAGCTTTACCCTCTAAAAAAATTCTGTCCAGGAGGTCTTTTAATCTTGTACATGACTTATTATCGCACGCCAGGAAATGTAACATGAAACAGGACCCAATACATGCTTTTATTTGTCACGCAGTTTTGCCTTTGCGAACATGCTTGAAGCCAGTGATGCGTTTGTCGCATCTTTGTTATGGTACTTTCCTTGCTAAACCACCAGAATGGCTCATTGTGGGGCTTAAAAGAGATGGTTACAATTTTATGACATTTTTCTGTGTGGAAACATTGCCAACACCGTCGCGTCAAGGGAAGCCAGTTTGTACCAAAATAATTATGACAATTATTATGGCGAAAGCCGCTAGTAGAAATCTACTGTGGTAACATATGTATGAATGCCGAACAAGACTGAAATCAGTAATAACTTTATCATTAGTCTTAATTTTGGCATAGCGAAATAGGGATACATGGCGCACGACACTTTCGATTGATGAACATGACTTCGAGTATATTCTATGTTTTTGTGATGTCAAGATATCGCAGTTTACCTTGCAATATTTTTCTAGCTATGTAGCTGGTATAGACGAGTGCGAATCCTTAAAGCCAGGTCTTGGAATAAATGACGTTTTCTTGGGTTAAGACAACGAGACATGCATTTGGTGTTTTTGTGTCTCAATGATCATTGTTCATGTCGGACTAAATTATTTTTGGCGAGAAATTTCCGCACAGCATTGCCATCAATCTTCCGATCCACAATGCCATGGAACAAGGAAAAGACTGAAGTGGTAAGTTGCACTGAAATTATTAAATATGCTGATATCAGAGGGCTTTCATATTTGCGTACAAATCTACCCTAAACCAGAGAAGAGAGTTCTGTAGAGAATGGTTGTCATATGTCGCAATGAAGCGAATTATCTGATTGACTTTGTGCTCAATACATACTTAACTCAGCTTAACTTGTTCTGTCTTGCTTGGGTAATCAGTTCTTTATTGAGCTGTTGTTATCTGTTGAGCTGACTATTAACCTACCACGCTAGCTCATTCTGTCTTGCTTGGCTAGTCAGTTCTTATTGAGCTGTTGTTATCTGTCGAGCAGAATATTAACCTGCCGCACTAGCCCATTCTGTCTTGCTTGGCTAGTCAGTTCTTATTGAGCTGTTGTTATCTGTCGAGCAGAATATTAACCTGCCGCGCTAGCTCATTCTGTCTTGCTTGGGTAGTCAGTTCTTATTGAGCTGTTATTATCTATCGAGCAGAATATTAACCTGCTGCACTAGCTCATTCTGTCTTGCTTGGCTAGTCAGTTCTTATTGAGCCGTTGTTATCTGTCGAGCAGAATATTAACCTGCTGCACTGGCTCATTCTGTCTTGCTTGGGTAGTCAGTTTTTATTGAGCTGTTGTTATCTGTCGAGCAGAATATTAACCTGCCGCGCTAGCTCATTCTGTCTTGCTTGGCTAGTCAGTTCTTATTGAGCTGTTGTTATCTGTCAAGCAGAATAATTATTAACCTGCTGCCTTAGCTCATTCTGTCTTACTTGGGTAGTCAGTTCTTATTGAGCTGTTGTCATCTGTCGAGCAGAATATTAACCTGCCACGCTAGCTCATTCTGTCTTGCTTGGGTAGTCAGTTCTTATTGAGCTGTTATTATCTGTCAAGCAGAATATTAACCTGCCGTGCTTGCTCATTCTGTCTTGCTTGGGTAGTCAGTTCTTACTGAGCTGTTGTTATCTGTCAAGCAGAATATTAACCTCGTGCTCTAGCTTATTCTGTCTTACGTGGGCAGCCAGTTCTTATTGAGCTGTTGTTATCTGTCGGGTAGAATATTAACCTCGCGCTTTAGCTAATTCCGTCTTACATGTACTTGGGTAGTCAGTTCTTGATTGAACTGTTGTTATCTGTCGAGCAGAAAAATAATGCTAACCTTTTCTGCTTTATCTATTTCACCTGCTTGCACCCTAGCATTTCTTGCCTTCTTTGAGAGGTCCGTATTTTGAGTTGTTTCTGTATTTTGAGAAAGGAATCATCTTCGTGCTTAACATAATATCTGCCTCTTTTTTTTCTTTCTCCATAGGGAAGCTGGTCTGCTAGCAGTATTTGTTCCACAAACACGAAAGTTTGGAATCTTACCTCAGTCTTATATGTTAACTTGAGATTTCAGGACATTTAATAAATATTATTACGGCCATTTCATGAAACATGACAATATACAAAGCTGCGGACCACATGAGAAAAATAATGCCGCTGGATGGGCTTTGTAACTAAATTAGTGTCATTATGTGTTACCACAAATGTGACAAATAACACCTCAGTCGTACAAAACTTGCCAACTTCGATCTTCAGTTGCAGTTAATAATAAGCCATGAGTGGCTTCAACACACCCATGGCTTATTATTAACCTAATTTGCATAGATTTTTTTTTTGTGGGCAAAGCTCCTCATGGCGGGGCTTCCCCCAAAAAACCTGAAACGGCATCTGCCGCAGAGCCCAGGCTACATAAATGTTTACCGGTACTTCTTCCTATTCAGGGCCGCTTTAGATTTCTTCTCCATAGACCCCAATTACAATTTTTTTCTGTCTCTCTTTGTGGTAGGTCTTCTTCTAGTTGCACCTGCCTGCACACTGCCACTAAACTACTGAGCTTCTAACAGAAAGGAAACGCTTACGGCACTTGACGATGAAAGGGAAACAGCAGTCCAGGATTTCTTGGCCTAAACATGAGTTAATTTAGCTTTTTTTGCCCACTGATTCAAAACCTACTTATATTAGAAATTTTGTTTATTTTTCTCTTCTTTACGCACTGAACGCTTGAACACTTGCTGCCAAGATGTTGCGACGTCTGCTTTTCCTCGGTTACCATTGGTTACTGAGCTACGACATGCCTGATGAGGCGTTCAACTGTCAACAAACCTAGGTTGGCTTACTTTTTATTTTGCTGCCATTTACCGAGGTTTACTACTGTGTTTACACGATTAAAAATTTCACTTCAATAAAGTTAAAACAAAACCAGGGTAAACTTCTCTCATGAAAACACGGGCTCTGTGAAGTAGGTAAGTATAAAACTCTTTACTGACCACTAAACAGTAGAAACAGCCAAACCATCCCTAACAGTTACAAATTAATTCACTAATTACCATCAATTTCAGTTACTGACACTTTGACTGAATCACAGTTACTGTATTCCTTTAAGCAGTTTGCAATGAGCCTCTGTCAATCATACCTTATAAGAAAGGCATTTCCCTTTATTACTCACTCAAAATTCAATCCTGAACTCAGCAGACGAGAAGTGAAATGCAGGCCTAACATTATTGTGCGAGTCTGAGCTAACTATACCATACATTGTATTTTCACCACTGAGAGACTTTGCAGGTGTTGATGTCACAAGAAAATGTTCAATTAGCTACGTAAATTCTCATGTTTAATTAACATACCCAAATTCGCAATTAGCCAATCAGAAGCCATGTCTACTATCCTGATATCAAGTCACTGACCTGATATGGCTACGATATCATGTTCACATTGGTCTTGCCATGGGTATTTTGGCTTGACCATGTCTTTCTAAAATACAAATGGCTCAACCAATCTTGCCCGATTTGCCACCAAAATGTACCAAAAGGGTATGATTACAGTCAAAGCTCTCGTAAGCGACCGCCTTGGAAATTTAAAAAACTGGTCTTACTAGAGCTGGTCACTTACAAGAAGGAGCTCTCGTAAGCGACCGCATGGTGAAACAATAGAGAGTGGTCCCTTATGAGAGCTTCATGTTGATGTTAGGCTCTGTGAGTGGTCGTTGCCACGCAGGCCAAGTGGTTGCTACAGAAATGACCTTGAACTTTTACAGATACAATACTGCACCGTACAAGATCTTTATCAATGAATCATTAGGACAGTGTGCAGTTTCATTTAAGTGTTGATTTATATGTAAAAGGCTCTGAGTGGTCACTTACAAGAGCTTAAAAACAAAGGAAAAGTCTAGTTGGGTAATCACAAAAGTGGCTGAGGTCACTTATGGGAGTAGCCGCTTACTAGAGCTTTTCATTACAAAGTTTAAGTTACAGTTCAAATGAGGTTTCACAAAGGCGGTCATAACTAAAGCTGGCCACTTATTAGAGTGGTCACAAGGAGAGCTTTGACTGTAGGTATAATTATCCACCATTCACTTCCTTACAGAGCTCACACATGACTCCCTAACAGAGACAGGTCATTAATAACCTGTCAACAGACTACTGACAGATACTAAGACTACCAGCAGATCAATGACACATCACTGACAAAACTACCCCCATTCTTGACGGACTACTGACAGACTAATGAAACATCACTGAAAGAGCTCTAACCTACTCACAGACCAGTTACAGACTACAGACAAACTACTGACAGATTTGCTGAGAGACCTATGGAAAATTACTGACAGACAATGAAAGATCACTGAAAGACCACTGACAGATCACCAACAGACAACTAATAAATCACTAACAGACTACACAAACATCACTAACAAACTACTGAAAGATCACTGACAGACTACTGAACAATCACTAATAGACCACTGAAAGATCACAAACAGACTACTGACAGCTAGGTCACTGAGAGAGTACTGACATATCGCCAAGACTACTGACATACCACTGATAGACTACTGACAGATCACTAACAGACTACTGACAGATCACTAACAGACTACTGACAGATCACTAACAGACTACTGACAGATCACTAACAGAGTACTGACAGATCACGAACAGAATACTGACAGATCACCAACAGACTACTGACAGATCACTGACAGACTAATGACAGATCACTAACAGAGTACTGACAGATCACTAACAGACTACTGACAGATCACCGACAGACTACTGACAGATCACTAACAGACTACTGACAGATCACCAACAGACTAATGAGAGATCACCAACAGAGTACTGACAGATCACGAACAGAGTACTGACAGATCACCCACAGACTACTGACAGATCACCAACAGAGTACTGACAGATCACCAACAGACTACTGACAGATCACTAACAGAGTACTGACAGATCACAAACAGAGTACTGACAGATCACTAACAGACTACTGACAGATCACCAACAGACTACTGACAGATCACTAACAGACTACTGACAGATCACCAACAGACTACTGACAGATCACTAACAGACTACTGACAGATCACTAACAGACTTGATATAATAACCCAAGTTATTCTCGCATTTTCATTGGTTCTTGCCTATGATCTATTAGAGGATAGACACACGATTGATGTCATCATTTTAAAGTTTTTCCCTATGTGTTTAAAATGGCAGAGAGTTTTGAAAATTTAGATACTATTTTACATGACTGGGGAAAGATAAGGTACAAAAACGTCTTGCCGAGGCATTGAACAGGTACAAGAGGCTGGAAGAAGAAAGAAATAGCCAGTTTTTTTGCTTTTTTTTCGAGAAAATGACTCAGAAAAATATACTCAAGCAGTCTCAGTCAGCAGCCAAGCGAGACTAAACCAAACACAACATTGATCTTGAAATTACCTTAGGTAACAAATCATTGCTTTGTCTCGAATTTAACAAAACCAATAAGCAAAATGTTTATGTCATTAATTTAGTTAAAAAAGTCAACTTTTTTCAGTCTCAAAATGATTGTTGACACACTTTGATTCCAGGAATTATACATCAAAACATCAACAGTTTAACTAAACACATAAGCTTAAGTTTAACCTTGTTTTCTGATGCGACTGTTCCAGTCCGTTTCAGGGCAAAGTAGCAAGAAAAGTAGAGCTCAGTACAGCTAACAGCCAACTGTATCCCAGCTACAAGGTGTCTCCGACAATATATCAAACTGATTTGAGAATCACCAACCACAGAGGACACAAATATCCTTGTCACTAATGGTCATTTCATCCAAAACTTGAATGGCCTCCAGTGTTGACCATAACAGCAAGTTTTTCAAGCATATTTTTTCAACTTCTGCAATATTCAAGACAACATCCAAGCTTTTCGGCTCACAGGGCTGCTCTGATGACAAAAACCGACTTGACTTTTCAGCATTTTCTTTAAGATTTGTAGATTTTGCAGTTCAATTCTGCTTTCGCTGTAAGTTTTAAATCCACGAGAAGCGACTTTCAACTCAAGTTTGACAGTGGCGTGATTTTCCTGGACAAATCACAATTCTTTGCTACACATAGCAACCGATGAGATTGCTTCATTTTGTATAGACAATGGATTACGTCAAATGGCTTTTTTTCGTGTTCACCAAAGTGGGCAAAGGCCGGCTTTCAAGTTATGCTGAAAGATTTTAAAATAAAAAAGCTTTTTCTGTTGTTTTTTATGATATAAAACAAATAGATTCCATGTTGCCGTAGGTCTGTTCAGTAACAGATCACAGAAGACGTCAAAATGTGGTAAGAACATCAGTGACACAGTCAGCTATCACCTCGTGTGCCACTTATTTGTTCTCACACATCATCTGTGATCTATTACTGAACAGACGTACAGCAACATGGAATCCATTTGTTAAACTGACAGGTCACGAACCGTCTACTGACATATCACTAAGAGACTACTGACAGATCACTAATAGACTAATGACATATCACGAACAGACTACTGACAGATCACGAACAGACTACTGACAGATCACTAACAGACTACTGACAGATCACTAACAGACTACTGACAGATCACTAACAGACTACTGACAGATCACTAACAGACTACTGACAGATCACTAACAGATCACTAACAGACTACTGACAGGTCTATCACTAATAGACTTCTGACATATCACTAACAGACTACTGACAGATCACTAACAGACTTCTAACAGATCACTAACAGACTGCTGACAGATCACTAACAGACTACTGACATATCACTGAAAGACAACTGAAATATCAATAACAGACTACTAACATATCACTAACAGACTAATGACAGATCACTGATAGAGTACTAACAGATCACCAACAGACTACTGAGAGATCACTAACAGACTACTGACAGATCAGTAACAGACTACTGACAGATCACTGACAGACAACTGACATATCAATAACAGACTACTAACAGATCACTAACACAGTACTGGCAATTAAATTCCCTAAAAGACTTACATCAGACCACTGACAGGCTCCCTTCAAAGTGCAGCTTATGATGGCTGCTTTTGAATGCTCTTCACTCACTGTCTTATAGCTCTTGTGTAAGTCTTACTATTAATAAACTTAAGTGCAAAACAAGTTCACACACCTTTCAGCAAGGTTTTTCTTCATGATATGAAATCTTTCACCAGAAATTGTAGCCTGCACAGTTCCTCCGCCGTAGTAACAATTACGTAGAATGTATGAGCTACTGTTCCTAACAATAAGAGCACCCAAACCAGTTGGAAAACCAAACATCTTGTAAAAGGAAATGGGAACAAAATCGGCAGTACAAGAATTTAAGTCCAAGGGAGAAGTGCTAACAAATGAGGATGCATCAAGAACAACAAACCAATGACACAGACAACTGCTACTGAATAGAGATCGTTGTTGAGTTTGGGAAACCCATTCTAAAGGGTACTTTCTCCCTGAGAAATTACACATTGCAGGAAAGGCAAATAAGTTGTGGCAACAGTTGACATATTCTTTCACAAAGAAATCATCAGTTTCATCTCCATTGCCCAAAGAATCGACTTGTTTCAAATGTAAATGATCCTTTGTCCCTCCACTTGTGAACTGGAGTTGCTCCAACAAGTCTTTCTCAGTGATACAGATAACTTGTGCTCCACTTAAAGCTGCTCTTTCCCTGATACCAACCACTGATGTATGATTCTCGTGAAGATAACAGAAACGACTTCTGCGAGAGCTTTCCTTGCTGAATGCTGCCTGCCAATCAAAGCTCTCTGCCAATAGTTTTAAAGCAGCAGTAGCACCAGCAGTAAAAATCACAGTGTGCTTTTCACAGGAGGTATTAAAGTGCTTTAAAATTCTGCTGCGAACCTGCTCCAGAATATCACTAGACAACTGACTGCTAGGGTTCCTGCTGTGTGGATTCCCATAGACATTACTGGTTAAGTCATTGTAAACGCTTCTTATAACACTCTCTGGATACTGAGTTGTTCCAATATGATCCAGGTAGGTGATATCTGAGAGATACAATTCAGAAATATCATAGATACATGCAGCTTCATTTAACTATATTCAAGATCACAAACCTCCTTTAGGATTTCAATGAAGATAAAATTGCGCAGCACACTGATTCTTAAGAACAGATTTACGTGTACTTTTTATTGAAAAAAGAAAAAATTGAGACCTAGTACTCCATTCAATGTGTGATTGGCTTTCTTATTGCTAGAAGGGTGAAATGACTCAAAGGGTATGTACACTGCTGACTGGCATTTGTTTAGAGGCTTCTGAAAGGTTGAATATTGCATTACACTTGAAGAAATATTTCTATAGAGAAATAAATCCAGAAAAGAAATGCTACGATCACTAGTACAATAGGTAAGCTTAAGGTAGCCGAATACAGTTTTCGCGTGCGCTTTTGCTGATGTAATTCAGCACATGCACAAGGGTTGCAAAAAACAAACATGCCATCAATAGAGAGATCATTTTATTTGCCCAACACCCGCAGTATCTGTGCTATTTTTCTCTATAATTGAACGCAGTGTATTGATGGTTTTAGTCTTTTATTACAAAGATATGTTAGAACAGGTAACGATGCAAAGAACCCAGCAATTTTCAGCTTTTTCTTTCTTACTGAAAGAACCCAGTTAAATGCAGCGCATGCGTATTAAGTCAAAAAATTGCAATTGAATGAAAAATTGCCCTCTTGGAAATATGCCTATTTCTCGAGAACCACTCATTAGAATTCACGAAATTTGGCACGAAAATACTTTAGGAAATAAGTAACTGGAGTATTGAAAATAATTGAACTTTAACAAAGGAAATTCTAGATATTTCAGTAAAC